TGGGTTACACTAATAATGGTTACCGTTTGTAGGATTTGGAGAAGGAATCAGTTATAACATCTCGGAATGTAATTTTCAATGAAGAAAAAATTAATAAAAACAAAATAGAGTCACCGTCCATCATCAGGGAAGATAGTCAGGAAATGCAGGAGCCAAGTGAAGAAAGAGAAGAGAAAGTCAAAGAAAATGAAAGAAAAGAATCTGTCGGTGCAGACTCAAATGTAGAAGACAATGAAAATAACAGGATAAGAAATAAACGGAAAATAAAACTCCCACAATACTTGAATGACTATGATCTTGATTATGAATTGTTTGCAGCATTGTCAATTGGTGATTTTGACCCTGAAACTCCAGAAAATTTTGATGAAGCAGTTTATAGGGGACACGGCTGGCAAGAAGCCATCAAGGAAGAATTGAACTCATTGGAAAGTTGTGGAACCTGGGAAATAGTGCAAAGACCTGAAAGTGAAGAGATAATAGATTCGGAGTGGGTGTTTAAGAAGAAAGAAATTAGTGGAAAAACTGTAAAAAAAGCACGTTTGGTGGCGAGAGGCTTCAAACAAAGTGAAGTGCATGAAGAAATCTATGCTCCCGTTGCTCGAATGCTAAGTATTCGTATTTTGCTGTCACTTAGTGTTCAGGAAGACATGCATATTCATCAGCTAGATGTTAAACATGCATTTTTGAATTGTGAGTTGAAAAATCCTGTATATATGGAAGTACCAAAAGGTCTGAATATTATTTTTGAAGGAGATTTTGTATGTAAATTAAAAAAAGCTTTATACGGCTTGCGCCAATCTCCAAAGTGTTGGTACGATAAGCTCAATTTACATTTACTTGATATAGGTTTTTGTAGATCCAAGGCGGACCCATGCCTGTATTTGAACAGTCAGGTATATCTTTTAATTCATGTCGATGACCTTATTATTTTTTCAAAATGTTTGTCTTCTATTAAAGAAGTGAAATCTAAACTAATGTCTAAATTTAAAATGACTGATCTATCAGGAAAATCTTTCAAGTTTTTGGGTCTATCAATTGTGAAAAATGAAAATTGTCTAACTATTAATCAAAGTGATTTAATTAAAAAAATTTTGTAACTTTTGGCATGTCAGATTGTAAGCCTTCTAATTTACCTATGCAACCAAAATTAATTTTGACTAGAGATGAAACATTGATTCATGAAAATATGCCTTATAGAGAACTTGTCGGTTGTTTAATGTATGTGATGCTCGGATCTAGACCAGATATCTGTTTTACTGTGACTTATTTCAGTCAATTTCAAAATTGTTTTAAACTAGAACACTGGAAACATCTAAAAGCTGTTCTAAGATACTTGAAAAATACAGAACACTTTGTTCTTAAATATGTAAAAACAAAAACTAATTCTGGAATAGATTCTTGTATTCTTTCTGGATATGTAGATGCAGTCTTTGCTAATGATCCTAATGATAGGAAAAGCATTTCTGGTTTTTGTATTAATTTTCTAAATAATGTTGTGTTTTGGAGATCAAAGAAACAAACTATTGTATCCCTATCAAGTGCCGAAGCAGAATATGTTGCTCTCTCTGCTTGTGTCACAGAATGTTTATTTATTGCTACTCTGTTAAATGAAATTCTTAAATGTATTGTGTACCCGATAGAAATTTTTGAGGATAATCAATCGTGCATCAAGATGGTCAGTACTTTGGAAACAAAGCGCACTAAACATATTGATGTTCGACATCATTTTTTGAGAGATTGTTTGGCGAAAAATCAAATAAAACTTAATTATATTTCCACCAATGAGCAAACAGCTGATATATTTACAAAGGCTGTAACTCCTCAGAAATTTGATTATTTACGTAGCAAATTAAATGTAACCTCGAATTAATCAAAACTGTAATAATATTTTCAAGAGTATTGTAATTTTTTTTTATAACTTGTATTTTGTTAAGAAGTTAAGTTTCTCATTGAATATTGTAGAATTGAGAGGGTGTGTAAATAGACACTAACAATTCTACCAGCATTCACATGACGCAGAGTGTGTATCCGTCTTAAGTTATGTTTGTCGTAGTCAGCTGTCGCTGTAAAATTGTCAATGCTTTAGTTTTAGTTGTCAAGTCGAGTCGAATGTTGTAAGCTGTTATCGCTCAATAAATTAATTAATCAGTATTAAAACAAGTTCTTTTTACTACTGGCTTTCCTACGGAAGTTAGGCAAGTTGTCTAAACATTCTACAAAGTGGCTGTTCTACTTACTCTATTAAGGCCACAACGGCCCCCCCTTCAAATTATATTTTAGTTCTAAAAAAAAATTATAAATGGCGCCAAGATAGAAGCATTTTTACAGTGGAGCATATTAAATATTATAGCGATTTCAATTTGCAGAATCAGTGCAACTTTTTTCACTCAGTTCGCACTGATTGGCTCAGGGGATTATGGAGGGATTTGTATTTCCATGGTATGACTTCAAATTTTGTTCTACTCTGTAAAAGTGATGTTTTGTTGTAGAGCTTATTTTTGAGGTATATTTAGTCGTGGTGGGTACCTATAAGATTTTCAGGAAGCAATTGGCACATGAATGGGTTTACAAATAGAGGAATACTCGGAGGAATAATGAAAAAAATGTCTTACCAGGAATCTTACACAATTTCAGATATTGGTAAAAGATCCAAGAGCTAGTAAAAGAAATGCAAATCGCCAGATACCTAAATTGAATGCTCTACTGCATTGGTGGATATTATTATTGCACTAATATGCAAGAACACAAAGGAAAAACTCTAATTTTAGCACTTTTCACCTTTTGTAAATAAATTTTTAAAAATATTTATTATTGATGCTTTTTATTTTTTCAAAGACATTTTGTCCTACAAAACACGATCCAATTTTTTTATGTTTACCTAGGTACGTAAAATAGCTACTTTATTTATTTTCAATGGAAACTAATGGCACAGCATGCTTTGTGTCTATAGTTCATACCAAATAAACTTGTTCTTGTGACATCGATGACGCCATTTTTAAAATCGTTATAGCCAACCGTGAAAATATTCGGCGTCGGATTGACTTAATTGGAATTTGAATTTCCCGCTGGCCATTCAGTTGGTAACACCACTCCAAAAAATGTAACGTTGCCAAATTAAATTCTTGACATTTTGAATTTTGATTGCGTTTTGGCAGTTTACGAGATTTTGGTTTGTCCTATTATGCCCGATTGCACCGTCTCTCTTAACCGAGGCTTAGAGATAACTATTCCTTAAAGTGACATTTTCCCATGCAAAACTGTCAATTTAAGGGATAGTTATCGTTAAGTCTCAGTTAAGAGAGGTGGTGCAATCGGGCATATTAGGGACTTAAAGCAAATCCTAAAAAATGTGTACTTATCCGTATCCGTAATCGTATCGTATTGGCTTACGTTACCGATGTGAAAACGTTATAAGCTGTTCAACTTCAGTTTTCGTATCCGTACCTTGTCCCGTCATTCTAACTTCAAATTTTGTTTTGATACAATCATTCAAAAAGTGACGTTTTTTTGATTCGAATTTATTTTCTCTAAAATGGATAATATCGTGAATAATCCTTTTTTTTTTGATGAGGACGAGAACGACGACGATCTAGACGATCTTATTGTGATGCACATATTGAATGACAATGATTTGCTTGGTAACAGAGCTGCTCTTTATGGAATTTTTGATCTACAATTTTTGAATAATGCCCAGTGTTTGTCAATGTTCAGATTCGAAAATGATCACATACCAAGATTAGTCAGGGCTCTAGGACCTAACAACTTCGAGTGGATAGAGTTACCGTATCAGGTACCTATGCAGAAAGACATTTTTAAGATTACTCTCTTAATGTTATTTGTTAAGTATATTGAACTATTGAATAAATTATCATAATTATCCAAAAAAATTAATTATTTTTTGAACCTTTCAGCAGGTGATGGTATGTGCATGCTGCTTAGAAGATTGGCATACCCAAACCGTCTAGTGGATTTGGAACCTACATTTGGCTATTCAAGCACTGTGCTTTCTAATGTTATCAACTTAGTTTTACAGCTGATTGAGGAACAGAAAGGCCACTTACTGGAGAACTTAGGAAATCTCGTTTTTTTTAATCGACAGAAATTACAGCAATATGCTCAGGTATGTCATAACATTTTCCCTTACTTTTTGTTCCTCCATTAATGGTATTATTTTTCAAATGTGAAGAATTTTTTTTAGGCAATAAATGAGAAAGGATGTCCACTAGAAAATTGTTGGGCTTTTATCGATGGCACCGCACCGCAAGGGCCATATGCAGGCCGAGTGTTAATCAGGAGGCATACTACTCTGGCCATAAAAAAATGCATTGTATAAAGTATCAAAGTGCTTGTACTCCAGATGGATTGATTATAAGCCTTAAAGGTGCATACGAGGGAAGGAGACATGATGCCGGAATTCTTCGGGATTCTGGATTGCTGCAGGAACTTCAACAATATGTAGTTTTTCCAGATCAAGAATTTGTTTTGTATGGGGATGAGGGTTATGGCCTAAGAGATCTTTTAATTAGACCATTCACCCAACATGAAATCAACCTGGACCCCAACAGGCAAATCTTTAACAACAATATGAAGGCAATGAGAGTTACCGTTGAATGGGGTTTCGGGAAAGTTGTACAGTTATTTGCTTTTTTAGATTTTAGAAAAAATCAAAAACTTTTGGTGCAAGAGGTTAGCAGGATGTATAAAGTAGGTGTCTTGCTAACGAATTGTCATACATGCCTCTACGGAGGTAATAATTCTCAATATTTTAATATCAATCCTCCACAGTTAGAAGAAAATTTAGTTTAGTGTTATTTTTAGTTTTAACTGAATTGACAGAGGTAGGTTTTTGATTATTTTAGTAGTTCCTTGCTATCTAGCAGTAATCTTATGAATTTATTATCTAAGGTATCCTGTTAAAAAGTAGATAATAAAGAATATTCAAACACGAAATTATTCATTTAATCAAAAATACTGATCATTTTCAAACATACAAATAAAAGTTAGATCAATGTATTTTGTCTGGTGCAACCACACTTGGCTTTGAAAGCAATTTCCATAAGTTTTTGCTGGTTGTGGAATAGATCTAAATCAATCTTGAGTTTCTTTTTTTCCAATTCCAGTCTTTCTTCTTCCATTTGCATTTTTCGTTTTCTTTCTTCTCTCTGAGATTCAAATTTCTTCTCTTCAAGATCCAGTTCTCTAGAACGTATTTTATACCACCGTTCATTCTTGGTTTCAAGGTACTTTAATGACGTTTGCTTTATATTATTTCTGACTCTTGATGGAGCTATGATAAAAAAAGTTTGTTTGAATCTACAACTCCTTGCTATGAATTAGTTGAACTCTTTTGGAGTTTCAGGTTTCTTATAATTTAAGAAATCTATTAAGCACGAAAACTTTACTGCAGAAGCTTTTAATAATGAATTAAAAGCAAAATTACAGGAGCAAGCTACACTTCTACAAGGACTATATTTTACACTTGTCAAAAACTATAACAAAATGTCAAGCTCATAAAACAATATTGCCAAACTGAAAATATTATACAATTCATGCTGAAATAAGAGAAATACACAAAATTAAATATTTCCAATACTCCCACTTTTTGATTATTTCAAATAAATCTAATTCTTCTATAAAATAGTCTTTGTATGTATTTCAGTTCCTTTTTAATGCAAATTTTGCAGTCCCATCTTGTACCTTAGGTTTTGAAAATGTTCACGAGGTAGGGCTTTAGTAAGAATATCAGCTTCTTGATTTTTCGTATTAACATACTCGGGCTCAATTTCACAACTTTCGTACTTCTCTCGTATAAAATGGAACTTGATGTCGATGTGTTTGCTTCGACTATGGAATTCTGGATTACGTATCAGTCTGATAGCACTTTGATTATCAATATATAGCTTTGTGGGATGATCAAAGGTAATTCCAATTTCTTGCATCAATCTGCGTAGCCATATAGCTTCTTTTGTTGCCAGACAAGCTGCCACATATTCAGCTTCGGTTGTTGACAAAGATACTCCTTGTTGTCTTTTGCTACACCATGTTATCGGACCATCACTTGCTTTGAAGACATAACCTGTTATAGATCTTCTTGTTTCTTTGTCTGTGGCATAATCGGAATCACAAAATCCTTCTAGATCCCAATTTTCTAGCTTTTTATATTTTATACCATAGCTTGATGTCCGTTTCAAATATTTGATTATTCTTTTCACTGCATTCCATTGTTCATTTGTTGGATTGTTTAAAAATCTGCTCACAACTCCCACTGCATAGGAAATGTCTGGCCTTGATACAATGGCAGCAAATATTAAAGATCCAACTACCTCTCTATATGGGCCAACAAATGAATGATCAGTTGAATTTCTAGTTAAATCCTGATTCGGGTCAGCCGGTATATCCATAGGATTTGCTTCTTGCATACCAAATTTTTCAATGAGTTTATTGATATAACTTTCTTGATGAATAAAAATAAAGTCTTCTTCTTGTACTATTTCGAGTCCAACAAAATTGTTAACTTTGATGTTTACTTTAACTTCAAAAATTGTTTGTAATTTTGCTAAAATGATTTCCAGTGCATTTTCACTCGAAGATAGGAGCAGTCCATCGTCAACATAAATAACGAGCAATACTAAGTCACCATTTACAGTACCTCTGTAGACACACTTTTCTGAATCAAATTGTTTAAAACCATATTGTGTTAGAACACAGTTGAATTTTTGATTCCAACATCTTGGAGATTGTTTTAATCCATACAATGACTTCAGAAGTCTACACACTTTGTTACTGATTGTTGAAAAACCTTTAGGCACTTCCATATATATTTCTTCATTTAGGTCCCCATAGAGAAAAGCTGTTTTTATGTCGAATTGCCTAATTGAATAGTTCTTGTTTGCAGCAACTGATAATAATACTCGGATAGTATCATAACGAGTAGTTGGTGAGAAAATTTCAGTATAATCTATATCTTTTCGTTGTGCAAAACCTTTCGCACACAACCTTGCTTTATAACGAGCAGGTTTATCTTGATTTTCATCTTTCACACGAAACACCCACTTTGACTCAATAGCCTTCTTGCCGTCAGGTAAGTCTTGCAGTATCCAAGTTTTATTTTGATTCAGGGCTAGAATTTCTTCTTCAATAGCCTTTTTCCATTCCTCAGCATCTTTTCCAGTCACAGCTTCTTCATATGTAGTAGGAATATTGACTTCTACCAAATTCAAATCATAATCTCCAAATCTTTCTGGTAATTTTATTGATCTTGACGGTCTCAACTTGGGAATAGGTGTATTTACAGTAACATCTGGATCAATATTATTGTTTACATTACCAATGTTTTCACTTTCGCTGTCACTTTCAATCAGTTGTTTATTGTCAATATCTTCCTCTCGATTGTTTTGAACGTTTTGATTTTCAATGTCATTTTCAGTGTCACTTTCAATCTCTACTAACACTGGTGCATCCCTCTTTTGTTCTTTTTGAAACCCCATACATTTTTCATTGAATTTTACGTTGCAAGAAACTGTAATTTTTCTGGTGTTTGGATTTAATAGTCTGTAATTTGTTGAATTTCTATCATAACCAACAAAAATTAGTTTCTCACTCTTTGGATCGAGTTTCCTCCTTCTTTGGTCGGGCTGATGTGCATAGGCTACACAACCAAATATTTTGATGTGTCCAAGATAGGGCTTTTCACCTGTCCAATTATCAAAAGGTGTTTTCTGACTTTGTTTCGATGGTACTCGGTTTAGGAGATAAACTACATTGTTTGCAGCTTCTGCCCAGATATAATGGGGTGCACTTGCACTTATCAACATGGTTCTGACTTTTTCTATGATAGTGCGATTCTCTCTTTCAATTCTTCCATTTTGTTCTGGTGTGTAGGGTGCTGTAGTTTCCAATTCTATACCTTCTTTCTTCAAATATTCACTAAATTCATGATTTATGTACTCACGTCCATTATCTACATGTAAAGCCATAACTGAGTGTCCAAATCTTGTTTTTACTTTGTTGTTATATTCGGTGAAGCAATCAAGTGTGTCACTTTTATTTTTTATAAAATAAGCTACTAAATAACCTGTGCAACTGTCCTTGAAGAGTAGCATGTATCGAGCACCTGAAGCTGATGGTGTTTGAAATGGTCCACATATGTCACTGTAAACCAATTCACCTGGAGCACTTTTACGAGGCCTCAATGAATTCTTAAAAGTCTTCCGGTGTTGCTTCCCAAAAATACAGTCTTCACAATCAAAATTGTCAAAGTCACTCATTTGAACACCATTAACCAAATTTTTATTCACCATTTCCTTCAAATATTGAACATTTATGTGTCCCAATCTTTCGTGCCATATTTGTAGGCTACTACTTTGTTTTTCTGTTACATTGAGTTCACTGGTTTCTTCATACTTGGTTCGAAAAAGCATTTTATAAAGTTTATTTGAGTCTTGTTGTATTGCGCAGGCAACCAGCTGATTTTTGAGATATATATTTGCCTTATTAAACTCTTTAATAATTTTCATTCTCTTTTGAGTTAAAACTCCTTCTGATAATAAATTTTTGGTTAAACTTGGAACATAAAAAACATCATTTATTGTTGAACTATACCATTTTCCTTCGATAAGCTTTTCAATGTTTACAGTACCTTTTCCTTGCACTTCTAAACTTTTACTGTTTCCTAGGATCACATTTAAAGGACTTGTTAAAATTTCAAGTTCAGCAAAGTATTCTTTTCTGCCAGTCATGTGTGCGGAGGCACCACTATCTAGGATCCAGTGCTCATCACTATTTGTCACCAAATTACATTCCTCATTTTGTGTAACAAAAGCAGTTTCATTTTTCTTATTGTTTACTTGTTTTGGGGCTCTGCATTCTTTCGCCATGTGTCCACGTTTGTTGCAATTGAAACAATGAAAAGGGAATCGTTTTTTATTATCTTTTTCTTTCTGATGTTTTTGTTTAAACATAACTGCCAGGGCTGTGTCTTCTTCTTGCACAGTACTTAAACTTCTTTCTTCGTCAAGTAATCTTACTGTTAAGTTCTTGATTGTCTGTTTCGTTTCATCCATAGACAACCAGGCTTGTCTTACATTTCGATAAGTTTGTGGCAAAGTACTTAGAATTTTGGTTACTATGGCGGTGTTACTTATATCATCACCACAATCTTTTATTTGTTGAGCTAGGTTTTCTATTTTCGCTATGTGCTTAGCAATGGAATTATTTGGCTCCATTTTATATTGATGGAAACTTTCATGAGCCATAAGTTTGTTAACTTCTGATGTCTGCTTGTAAATTGCATTTAACTTGTCGATCATCTCTTTCGAGGTTTCACAATTTTCAACAAGTGCAATTTGGGACAGGGCCATTGCTGATGTCACAGTAAACATAGCCTGTGCATCTTTACGTAACCATGTTTCTAGTTCTTGCGTTCGATCTGGTGCTGGGGCTGCTGAGGTTCCATCTACCATCCCATACAGACCTTTTGCACGTAGGGCACATTTCACTTGAAACATCCATTGGTGATAATTTTGCCCATCAAACTTGATGATAGAACTAACATCAATCTTGTCTGCCATTTTGTTTTCTAGGCTTCTGTTACTCCAACACACTGTGCAGTAGAATCACAACTTTCGCGTTTCACTGGTGAACTGAGCCCATAACCTTTTGGAGTTTCAGGTTTCTTATAATTTAAGAAATCTATTAAGCACGAAAACTTTACTGCAGAAGCTTTTAATAATGAATTAAAAACAAAATTACAGGAGCAAGCTACACTTCTACAAGGACTATATTTTACACTTGTCAAAAACTATAACAAAATGTCAAGCTCATAAAACAATATTGCCAAACTGAAAATATTATACAATTCATGCTGAAATAAGAGAAATACACAAAATTAAATATTTCCAATAAACTCTTACTTAGAATTCCACCTCCTCTGCCAGGTCTCCTGTATCTTTGTGCTCTGCTTATAACTGATTTTGCTTCTGCAACGAGTGTTTTTTTAACTGTATTTCCTTTGTTTTCAACTTTATTTTCATTGTTTTTAACTGTATTTTCATTGTTTCCAATTGTATTTTCATTGTTTTCAAGAGAATTTCCATCTTCATCAACATAAATAATTTCAATTGATGCTTCATCACTCTCAACGATTTCATTTAACTGAATCTCTTCATAAGCTAAAAAACATGGAAGAAAACAACATAAGTAAAGTAAATTCTCCAACAATCACTTTAAAAACTTATGGAACACTATACATACATTCCTAAAAATACTTTTATATCCTACTGAACTATTAAAACCATATAATACCTTGGTTACGATAATCATAAACAGGGTCTTAACTCGCAAGGGAGTTAAGGATTTTCATAACTCCCAAGGGAGTTAAGGAAGGGAGTTAAGGATATCATAACTCCCAAGGGAGTTAAGGATTTCCATAACTCCCGCTTTTACCTTGAATAGGTAACACTTTGACAAAAAATAGAAATTTTGATTTATGGCTTATTCCTTTATAAAAATAGACAGAATACAGTAAATTCAGTAGGATATAAAATTATCTATGTACCACGGGAATTATCAGGAGTTAATACCCACGGGCAATTGGTGTCCCTCGGGCCGGAGGCCCTCGGGACACAAACGTTGCCCTGGGGTATTAACACCTGCATAATTCCCTTGATACATAAATAACTATTATGTCATACCAATACATTATTGTGTTTTTATACCTTAGATACCATCTACATGCGTGCGGGCATAAAGTACACATTATGGCCCGCGCGGGCATTAAGACGCAAAAAACAGTTTCATTTAACTTATTCCTTATTAACAAAATATAAATTTACTCTTATAAACATATTATTTTTGTTAAAAAATGATGATGTTTGCACACTGATGACAATTTGCGAAGTGACACTTTTTTCCCAGGTATTTATTATTCACAACCAACTGGTATGACATAAAAGTTTGTATGCACCACGGGTACTAATAGATATATATACCCTCGGGCGACTTACGAACCCTCGGGCCAGAGGCCCTCGGCTTTGTAAGACTGTCGCCCTCAGGGCATAATCATCTACTTAGTACCCTTGATACATAAATAACTATAATGGCTACCACAAAACTATACCCTATACCTACTATTTAGTGACTCTGTCTGGGCCTGAGAAGCCATCTCTCTTTTCTGAAACCCTTTTTCATAAGGCGTTAGACGTTTAGCCGTTTGGAAGTCTTGTATTAATAACAAAATAGAGTGCAATAGATCATCTAGTTCAGTCACCTCTTCTTCCACCCCAACTCAATTTAGAAATAGGAAAAACTTCTCGTCCTTGTAATTTTTTTATGTTTCCCAGGTAACTCTGTCTCATATTCTTGTTTCAACAAATAAAAAAAACCTACTTTAGACAGTTATTTTTTTAAATTCCTCACAGTACAGATAGTTATTCGACAAAAAATCAAAGAAAATTGTCACTTACTTGAATTCCTCCATTCTCCTCTTCTCTTCAAATTTTTCCACCAGGAGACTCACCCTGTCTCTTAGGCCTTTTTCTTTAAAGTCTTTGCCGGTCGCTTTTTCAATATTTTTTTGAATAAGGCTCCACCGAGACCGATTTTCAAAAGGGTTTAGACCCACTACCTCCCTGAGGACAAGCAGGTCATCGTCCGATGTATAAAACAATCTTTTTCTTTTATCCATCGCAAAACTGAACAGTGAACGAACAAAACAAATTCATAAATAATTTATGAAATAAGAATAAAACAATTTTTTCAGGTTATGTTACTGTGAAATTTTGACGTTTTGTCAGGGATGCGATACGGATACACTAACGATACAGGAGCCGTAAAGATGCGACGCTCGTAACGCATCGCGACGCTCGTATCGCTTCTGCGCATGCGCAGTTCGATACGGATACGGATACGACGGAAATTTGTAGTCTGCTTTAAGTCCCTATTATTTGTGAGCTTGTTTTTTAAAAGCAGCTTGTGTACAAGATGCCGAAGCAGCTTAACAGCCGTTGCAAAGAACTAATCGCATCCTTGTTACAATATTTCGAACGAGCACGCGATGCGATAATTATGGCCCTTTATGTCCCTTAAATGCTGTTAGGAAGGTGAGTTTATTTCGTGGACCAAGGACCAACTAGGAATTTTCAATTTGAACTTTATTTTCTCTCATTTTTAGCGCGTAGCAAAGGCGTTGAACTTAAGTAGGTATGTCCACTGTCTGTGCTATTTCAAAGGCAGTCAAAAATAACGAAGTTTTGGAATCGCTTTCTGAGAAACGATGTACTTCGAAGAGAGTCTGTGATGTTTCAAAGCTCGATAGCAGTGCTATACGTAACACTATAGTTACGTTATGTATACAAAACGTAAATCGCTTGAGACAAAGGTACATATATATAATATATATCTATGAATCGCATTCTTTCTTCTTGTAGGACAACATGTATCTAAAATTATCCTGTATATGGGAGCAATTGAAAGCCAAACAATTATTTGATGGGAGTCCCATGTAATTGAGTAGAATGTTAAAAGAAATAGGCTTCAAATATGACCCAAGACGAGGGCTCATGGAACTTCCTGATATTGTTGTTAAACGCATATCATTTTGAGGTCTTATCTAAGACTGAAACAAGAGGCTTTGTACCAGTTTGTTTTCTTGGACAAGACTTGGATTTTTCAAAATGGTACTTTTAACCGCTCGTGACAAGACAATAAACGAAGAGTTAAAACTACCAAAGTTGATGGTGAAAGGTGAATATAAACATGAATTCAGAGAGCAGTTGTATTATATGCACAAAGAAATGCTTTTTTAGATATATCATACTTCATGCTAGCACTGAAAATGGATTCATTGAAGGTGCATCGTTCGTATTTTCATCGAAAATTCAACTTAACGACTATCATGGAGAAATGAATCAGCAAAACTTCTTACTTTGTTTCGAAAATCAGCTGTTGAAGAACTTGAGAAGTGAACCATCTGTCATTGTTATAGACAATGCTGCTTACCACAGAATGTTATTAACGAAGAGACATAGTTCGTCTACCAAGGCTGAAATTCAAAATTGGCTAACCGAACAGAAAGTTGAGTATCCAAAAACAGCATTGAAATCTGAACTTGTGACCATTGTTGCATGGTAAGTAAGTATCTTCAATACTAAAATTGTTTGCATTTTATGCTCAACTTCTCAAGTATTGCTTTTTTCAGGAATAAACCAACAAAAAAGTATGTGGTAGATGACTTAGCAGAACAGTATGGACATAAAGTTTTACGACTACCTCCATACCACTGTACCGTTAACCCGATTGAACTTATCTGGAGAATTGCAAAAAACTATTATAACCAACATATTGGCAGAGATGGTTATACTCAAGATTAAGATGCTTGTTTAAAAATGTGGCGAGAGGCACTGGGAACTGTTACCCCTGAAATGTGGAAAATGTTAAAGACTCTAGCGATTCTAGCGATTTCAGTGATCCAAAATAATTGAAAATATTCTTGATGGTTCAAATTTTCATATAAAATTTAATTATTTATAGTATTTAGAGTGGCTGTAAATAAAATAGGTACTGAACGTTATTATTATATTTTATGTGATGATTGACAAATGAGTTGTTATTAAATATCTATTAAACCCAGCTTTGAAACATTGTTTATACTTTAAGTAATAAATTTTTGCATTATATTATAATATAATCCATTATTGTTTCTGAGAATATTTTGACAAAAGGAAAATATGCAAGAGACGGCAACGCTGTGCCGGCCGAGCTTGACAACCCGACTATAAGTTTATTTGGTATGAACTATATTATTTTATTTACGACTAATGTATATTGTGCCTATTATATTTGTGATTTTGGCAGTATAATGACATATGTTATTCCTCCAGGGATTAATGACGAGTAGCGGGATTAATGGTCATTATTCCACAGAAGTGTCAGTGTCAAACGTGTAGTGCTTGTGGATTTCTATTGAAAATTATGAGACGGATGAAATTTGTTCATTGAAAATCTCAAATAAATTAATATGTCGTAAATAAAGTAGAGTATACTACTCGCAATAATGGCTATTATTCCCTCGGAATGTTACTCCCTCGCCGCTAACGCGGCTCAGTTCGTAATAATCCTCGGGAATAATAGCTATCATTATTGACTCGTGGTATAATCTACTATTATAAACCAATAATAAAAAACAAAACAAATACACAATGTGAGAAAGAGGTTCTGTTGTTAATAGGCTTTTTTGGAAACGCTGAACAACCTACATCAGCTGCTGCTCCAACGGTTCGGGGTTTTCGAAAACGCCTAATTATGACATCACGAATTGATTGTTGGCGCCATCTTCGAAAAAAAGCCTGAACTATATTTGCCAAAATATCTGTAATTTTATTCCAAAATCGGATTTAGACTACAAAAAAACGGCACATCAGAATTTGCTGAAATTTGGCATAAACATTCTCTGATCGATTATCTAGAGAATAGTGCTTGTGTTTTTTCAATTTTTACCGTGGTTATTTCTATTTTTGGAAAATAGTTCATTTTCACAATATAGGCCAAAAAAAAAAATCGAAATATGGAAAATCTAACTGCACTATTTTCTAGATAATCGATCAAGGAATGTTTATGACAAATTTAAGTAAATTCTGATGTGCGGTTTTTTTTTATAGTCTAAATCCGATTTTTGTATTTTGTATCGTGTGTATGGGAGATGTTGGCGCCTTAAGAACAATAAATATGTTGTTGTGACATTTCAAATGTTACAAAATTTACTATCCACTCTATTATTATTAAATACTCTAGACGCAATCTGATACCTAGGAAATTCCTGACAGACATGAACAAAGTTTGCATAATTCTAAGCATCCAAACTTGACTCAGACAATGAAAAAATCAAGTTGGTATATTTTCCAATAGAAATCAACTTATTCAAATGGTAAAAGTCTAGTTTACTAGAGGAATCCAGATTGATACAACGATATTGTTTCGGGCACCAAAGTTTGTAGTAAGTTGGAAAATTGTGTCTGCCATGCGTGAAAATGAATAAATATGATGCATTTCGCCAAAAATAGAATAACTCAGAGGGCTGATTTACCTCAGTAGTCCAGCAGCAACTCCCCTGGCACTCCCATCACCAAAAACTAAAATGTTGTCTCCAACTGCACCCGTGGATCTATGTTCAGAGACAGGCTGGCCGGCAGAGATTACAGCCAAACCTTCCCGATGAAGTTGCACCGACGAGTTCGCGGGCATATGCGAATCAGTGGCAGATAACTCATCAAACAATGAGCTGACACGGCGCTGTATTATGCTGTTCTTTGACGCATCGATAGTGTGCAGAACATTTGTATCTCCCAGTTAAGCATATAGCGCAGTTCTAAGTGTATCCATCTCAAGGTGGCAGGATTTATTCTCAGCTTCCAATGCCTGAATGGACACCAGCATATTACGATTCATAATGCTGAGCTCATCCAGATCCCCCTGCAATTTTTCACTCATATCGAGTTGAGTTTTAAGAGCGTTATCTACGCTAACCCTTTGACTGAAATTCTCCTGTAACTGACTTCGCAAATCAGTTATAATTACCCTCTTGTTGCTAAGCTCCTCTGCTATTTTTTGTTCCTGCTCAATAGCCTCTTCCTCAAAATACTGTGTTTTTTGTTGCTGTTTAATGTATTGAGCTTCTTGCAATTTCATATCTTGCTTCAATCGATCGATCTCCCTTATCAGTGGTAAAGTCAAATCTCCCTTCTCTGCCAAAGCAAACTTAAACTCTTCTCTACTTGAAAAAATTGTCTCCTTCAAAGCATGGTTCTTCTGTTACAACTCCCTTAACACTTGGCCTAAACATGAAGTATCACCAGCCTGTTCTTGTCTACATTCAGTAGAGCAGTATATCCTATTCTCACTTATCTTAGAGTGACCCCTACAATCTTTGTTAAGGCAGCTTGGGTGAAACAGGCCCAGAGAGGTAATACAGCACCAGTATCCATGTGTCTTGGTCGCACAACGCTTCAATGGAAACTTCAATTTAGATTTACCGCCCTGTCCTGGAGGCATCTCTATTTCAACCTTTAATCTAGGCCAATGCGAAAACTCTTTCAAAAGAAACTATTATAATTCCACAAATCCACATTATAGCGATCCACCCAAGTACTCTATTAATTAGTTAGATAGTAAATGGCGAGCGGTTTTATTTGATGTTAATAATTATTTCCTCGGGTTGCTACACAATTAAGAGGCGAAGGGGGTCTATTTGCAGATGAGAGAAACAACTATATGTATAATAGTTTTTATACATATTTTATTTACTAAAACAGCACTATCAATAATTAGGAGAATTCAGCCTAAGACTTCAGCACAACCTAGGCACACGAAAAATAAAAGGAAATTTTATATCAACAAATTCTTACTTCAATGATCATTCATTGAAACAATCCAGTTATACACCTTTTTAATCAAAACTAAGTTGATTATACGCAATTAAATTTTTATAACTCGTTCCTCATTTGTTGGTTACACATTAAACAATTCCCTTTTCTAATTCTTCCTTAATACTAAATCCTTTCATATTAAAACTCTTAATTAAATCCCTAACTTTCCAGTTGCCATTATACTACACTCCCAACTTACAATCTAAAATTAGACTGCATAAAGAATTTCTTTTTATTTAATAGTTTAGCTCAACAATTCATTAACTCAATTTCTTCAAAAACGGTGTAGTAGCGATCCAATATTTAAATTCAAAATTCTAAATATTTTGAATTAAAACTCTTCTGGAAAATTCCACTTCAAAGTGTTAGCAATAGTCAAATTCATTCTATTTTGACAATTAAACCCTTTTTTATCAAAATAAATTCAAATGTCATTTCACTCGGAAAATCAAATAAATTTTCGGGGATAATACCACGAGAGCTTCAAAATTACCGATAATTTTACACGATTGCGTGTTTTCTATAATTTCACGAGTCCGTAGGACAAGTGAAATTTGCAGAGAAAACACGCATGAGTGAAAAATTATCTGGTCCATTTTAAAGCTCGAGTGGTATTTAGAGGATTATTTCACGTATGAGAATGCAAAAAATATGTAAATAAATATTTATTAAACGATTTGAACATCTTAACAATCAATAAAAATAAATGGTTGCTATAAGGAACCGTTTGTTTGTATGTAAAACTTAACATGACAAACATGTATAAAATAACATGGGAGAATTATCGCTGTAATTCTCCTAGTTAAACTAATGGAAAAAAGAATTTTCGCTGTAATTTTGAAAATGGTCACTTGTCTTATGGGGTTTCTAACACATGAGTGGAATAATCAGTAAAGTTCCTTAGACAGTTCTTTTAAAATCAATTCACTAATAGGTAAATACTAAAGTCTCAAATTTCTGAATGTACTTACAATCTGTCCTTAAAAACACTAACGATCAAAATTACTTTCAGTTTCTTAGCACGCACAAACAAAAGAAAACCTGATACTACTTTATAACTCTTACTGGACAATAGTCAATCGCAAACTTTTTAGCTTTTTGCCCGAGACAAAACAAAGATAAAAGAAAAAAAAACTTTTTGGTGGAGACTCAACTCACTGCCAATTTTCTTAAAATCTTACTATGAAATCAACTGCTGGATGTTATCTATCTCTTTTTTTGATTGCAACCTGCCCAAAAATTTACCTTGATGATGGGATTTCATTGGTACTAATTGGCATCCAGAGGTTCTGATGCTTGTTGTGTTTCTTATATATTTTATAGTACTCAATTCCTACGGGGGCGGTCATTTAGCATATCGCGAACCAATCCTCTTATTTGACCTCGTTTATCGAGTGATAAACGACATTGTTTTTTTTCTTAAGTTTTTATTTAGGATAATATGATGCAACATCCGGCGGAAACACCGGTGTTGTAGTTTATCAGTTATGACCCAATTAAATTACATGAGTATAGTGATTTCCGGTTAAACGCGTCCTAATTTTATAATTTTTTATTGACTTTTTTTTTATCGAAATGTCGCACGAATCTATTAATTGGGGACATTGAACTCTGACATCTGGTCGCTTATCGCTTGTGTTAGTAGAAAAAAAATGTTAAGTAATTTGAGTTGAATCTAGAAATTTCGTCATTTTTTATTTATACTATTTTGATACGGAATTAGATGCTGGATTGCTAGGAGATTTAATAAGTTGAGATTAAATGATCTTGCAACTGACGTAGGTACTTTTGTAATTAAAATGACTACAAAAATGCTTTTACCAATTGAGTTTAGTTATATTTTCTGGGATTTTAGTACCTCGAAATTTTTGGGGTCGTCACCACATAAAAATGTTTAGTCTACAGATAGGAGGTAAAAACAAATCTTTTTTGAATGAAAGATAAGGCCAGCTGATAAGCAAAATAGTTATTTTCCTAACAAGTGCGCAAAGTGTCACTTTTCCGCACGCAAACACAGTTATACGAACGACGCGAAGCGGAGTTCGGATACGTGTTTGCGTGCGGAAAAGACACTTTGCGCACGTGTTAGGAACAACATTTTTCCTACGAGCTTCATATCAGGTAGGTAACAAGATTTTTTTTTTTTTTTAAACCCATAATTTGTTCAATTATTTTTAATTAACTTGAAGCGAACCTATACATTTATCAAAAAATTACCTAATAAAAAAAATAACAGAAAATCCTCGTCAGAGCTGTTCATCTTAAAGCATTTAAATTTGATGATAAAGTTTGTAGATTCTTGCATATAAATAGAGAACAAATCTGACAATGTGTCAAGGTTAATTTATATTTGGTGTTTGTATTGATGTTGGCTGATATAGAAACCGAGAAAAAATTTGTCATCATGTGTCAAAGTCGACAGGTGCACTTATTGTTGCTTGACAAGTATTTTTACTTTTCGGCACTCAGTGCGGATAAGGCCTGTATCCGCACTGAGTGCGGAAAAGTGTAACTTTGAGCCCTGGAATGCATGCGGAAAAGTACTTCTTTGCGCACGCTCGTAGGAAATAGTTATTTTCCTAACAAGTGCGCAAAGTGTTACTTTTCCGCACGCAAACACAGTTATACGAACGACGCGAAGCGGAGTTCGGATACGTGTTTGCGTGCGGAAAATACATTTTGCGCACGTGTTAGGAACAACATTTTTCCTACGAGCTTCATATCAGGTAGGTAATAACAAAAATTTAAAAAAAAAACGATAATTTGTTTAATTATGTTTAATTAACTTGAAAGGAATGCATATAGGTTCCTCAAAAAATTACATAACAAAAAAAAATAACAGAAAATCCTCGTCAGAGCTGTTCATCTTAGGGCCAAATTATGGACTGACTGGTAAACGTCTGGTTGTTACCTAGCAGGCACTTTCTATGCACTAGAGAATAGAAAATACCTGCTAGGTAACAACCAGACACTTACCAGTTGGTCCATAATTTGGCCCATAAAGCGTTTAAATTTGATGAGAAAGTTTGTAGATTTTTGCATAAAAATAAAGAACAAATCTGACAATGTGTCAAAGTTAATTTATTTTTGGTGTTTGTATAGATGTTGGCTGATATAGAAACAGAGGAAAAATTTGTCATCATGTGTCAAAGTCGACAGGTGCACTTATTGTTGCTTGACAATTATAATTACTTTTCGGCACTCAGTGCGGATAAGGCCTGTATCCGCACTGAGTGCGGAAAAGTGTAACTTTGAGCCCGGAAATGCGTGCGGAAAAGTACTACTTTGCGCACGCTCGTAGGAAAAATATATTTTAAGCTCCTTAGCCAGATTCAGATTGTATGAGGATGTTTATATTTTATTTTAATTTTTTTTCCCTTTACTAGCCTATAATTTTGATTATTTTATGGTAATCCTGCGGCCCAGAGAAAAGGTACACAGGCACTTTTACATATGCACAAACTATATTTTTTTTTGCTATAGAACAACACCACATACACTAATGAGAACTGTCTAAAAAGTACCTAAAACTGTTCAATTTATTCCGCCCGATTATAAAGCTTTTGTATGATGCTGCTGTAGTAGTTGCCGATTGTATTCTGGGCAGTTCCTTGAAATAGATTTATGCTCTTCATTTCCATAATTGTTGCATTTCATTGAATTTTCCTTGCATGGATCCAAATGTGCCATGCTTTGCTATATTTTTGACATTTTTCTTTACCAAGACATTGGTTTTTAGTGTGTCCATATAAAGGACAAGTGATAGCATTGCGTTACAGGCATTATGTAATTCTCTACTGGGATTTTTAGTTCATAAAT